ACTCCCTAAACCATTCCCACAAGATGCATGTTTCCGTCTCTTTACAAATGAGGAGGGAGGCGAAGTAACTCACCTAAGGGCAGACAGGCTGTAGATCTGACCCTGGTCTCTGTGGTTCCAAAGCCCACGTCGTCCTTGTACGGGACGGTCCCTGAGGTCGTTTTAGGAACGAGCTCAGGCTCCTTAGCGACATTGGAGGCCCTGCAGCTGCACTTGGCTTTCTCTACACTGAGCACGTTTGGGGCAGAAACGTTTGTTTCGCATGTTCGCTGAACCCTTGGGCAGTCTGAGGAAGCCCTGAATTCAAGTACCAGATTGTTCAGCTGGGATGGGAGTCAGAATCCCTGGGCCGGCACCTGGGCAGCCCAGTCTCTCAGCATCTGCCCTTTACCCTTGGCCCGTGGGTCCTTGCAGCCCTGCCTCCCCACTCGCCCTCTCCTCCTGCCCCACCTGGTCAGACTTGGGCTTGACCCCTGGAGCCCTTCACCTCGCCACCCCCCAGCATGCCCATCGAGGGGGCAAGGATGACTGCTTCTGAGAAGGACGATCTCTGGACACTTGGTCGCCATTTACGCAGAGGCAGCGGAGGTTCGGCTGGTAAAGAGAGGAGCCAGGGGTCAACCTGCGGTGGCAGTCACTCCTCAGTTGATGCCTTTCTTGGGGAAGGGGACTCCTGTGGCCCTCCATCCTCTCCTGGAACGCTGCCTTACCCCCCCTCCTCTGCCCACAGCGAGGAGCCCCCTGGGGAGGCAGCCCAGGCCGCGGTTGTGAGTGACACCTTGAAAGAAGCTGGTACCCACTTCATCATGGCCGCCGACGGGACCCAGCTGCACCACATCGAGGTGAGGCTGGGGGTAGCCACCTCTACTCTTCCCATTTCTTCCTGCCTCCCTCCGTCCCTCCGAGCCTCACGCTCCCCTGCCTGTCCACAGCTGACTGCACATGGCCCCATCTCCTTCCCAAGTCCAGACGCCCTGGCCTCTGGAGCCAAGTGGCCCTTGCTGCAGTGTGGGGGGCTGCCCAGAGACGGCCCTGAGCCCCCGTCTCCAGCCAGGACCCGCCGAGTGGGGGACCCCCAGGGCTCTGCCTCCCCACCTCCTGCTGCCAGCAAAGCCCTGGGCCTGGTAGTGCCCCCCTCGCCACCATCTGCAGCCACTGCGTCGTCAAAGAAGTTTTCCTGCAAGATCTGCGCTGAGGCCTTCCCCGGCCGAGCTGAGATGGAAAGTCACAAACGGGCCCACGCTGGGCCTAGTGCCTTCAAGTGCCCCGACTGCCCCTTCAGCGCTCGCCAGTGGCCCGAGGTCCGGGTAGGTGCCCCCGTCCCTCTGCTGGCACCCGTCTGTGTAACAAGCCTGGACTGAGTACCCCCCCAGGCCAGGTCCTCCGCTCCCTGCTGGGGTCAGAGATGACTCAGCAAGGCCCCAGCTCTCAGGGGGCTCAGTCTGGCGGGGAGGCACACCAGGTGGTGACTAACACCCGACAGTGTCCCCGGTGTGAACTGAGTGCGCACAGCGGAGCACAGATGGGGAACGAGTCACGTGGACTTGGGGTGCTGGGGGGATGTCCCAGAGGTGATGGCCGAGCTGGGCCTGCAGGAGCAGAGGAGCGGTGGCGTGAGGCAGCTGGGGAGAGTCGAGTCGTCCAGAACACTGAGGGCACAGTGTCCCAGGGAGGTGCGGGGGTCGGTGTGGAGCAGGCCAGGTTCCGGGGACTCCGTCTGTTCACCCGAAAATCATCGGTTCTCAGATCCGAGCGCGTGCTGAATCCTCACAGTGGCTCAGTGAGGGGAGCGGGGCCCAGAACCCAGAGTGTCAGAGCTGGGGGCGAACTTCAGAGGCCCCTCTTTGAGCCTGTACGTCTCATAGGGGTGAACTGAGTGTCAGCAGACACAGGGCTTTCCGAGCGGCCTCCCGACGGAGCTCATGGCTCTCGGAACACCCAGCAGTGCCAGACCTTGGCCTGGCTTGTACTTCTCACCCAGCTCCTCCCACATCTACCGCGCCTGAGGTCAGGGTCCCTGGCTCCCCTGTCCGTGCGGAGCCATCTGTCCTCACCCAGCCGGTGCCCCGACTCCGCCCCACCTGCAGGCCCACATGGCGCAGCACTCAAGCCTGCGGCCCCACCAGTGCAACCAGTGCAGCTTCGCTTCCAAGAACAAGAAGGATCTGCGGCGCCACATGCTGACCCACACCAACGAGAAGCCCTTCGAGTGCCACCTCTGCGGGCAGCGGTGAGGCCGGGCGCAGGCGGGCAGGGGCTGCCGGGCACGCGTGGTGGGGCCGCCCCTGAGCCGCCTTCCTTCGCCCTCAGCTTCAACCGGAACGGGCACCTCAAGTTCCACATCCAGCGGCTGCACAGTCCCGATGGGAGGAAGGCGGCAACCCCGACCACGCGGGCCCCGGCCCAGACCCCCAAGACCCCCACCCAGACCATCATCCTGAACAGTGACGACGAGACGCTGGCCACGCTGCACAGTGAGTGGCGCCTGGGGCCCCGGGGTGGACAAAGGACTTGAGCCACTGCTCCAGAAGGCACCCTTGGACCAGGGCAGGGCCAGGGCGTCTCAGGTTCCCCTGGAGCCCCTGAACGAGTGTCCACCCCTCTCTGCCCAGCTGCACTCCAGTCCAGTCACGGGGTCCTGGGCCCAGAGCGGCTACAGCAGGCACTGGGCCAGGAACACATCATTGTGGCCCAGGAACAGACAGTGACCGATCAGGTGAGAGCCTGGGCTGGGGGCCCTGCTGGCAGGTCATGGGCAAGGGTGAGGGCACACAGAAATCTGAAGCTAGAGCTGACCTGGCCCTGACAGGAGGAAGCCACCTACATCCAAGAAATCACTACAGCAGATGGCCAGATGGTCCAGCACCTGGTGACATCTGATAACCAGGTGAGCTGCTGCCGCCACCTCAGCCCTGAGTGCCCGCCCTCCTCCCCCCAACCTCCAGGCCCCATTCCCAGGAAGGGGTTGGGGGAACAGTACTTTCCAAACTCCTCCTCCAGCTGCCATTGCTGACAGGGTGTCCCTGATCCCCCTGCTCTGCCTTCCTCGCTGAGCTCCCGAGGAGCGGGGCCCCAGCACCTGCCTCTTCTCCCCTCTTCCTCAGGTACAGTACATCATCTCCCAGGACGGAGTCCAGCACCTGCTCCCGCAGGAATATGTCGTGGTCCCGGAGGGCCATCACATCCAGGTAGGCCAGGCCTGGGACGCAGGTGAGGAGTGAGAAGAGGGGTGTACATCCTCCTTGGAGAGTAACTGGATTGGCTGTCTCTCTCCAGGTACAGGAGGGCCAGATCACACACATCCAGTATGAACAAGGGGCGCCGTTCCTTCAGGAGTCCCAGGTAGGGCCCTTGGGGACCAGGTGGAGCCAGGGCCACGGGCAGGGGTCCTGGGAAGGCTGCATCTCATCGCCTCTCTCCTCCAGATCCAGTACGTGCCGGTGTCCCCAGGCCAGCAGCTCGTCACACAGGCCCAGCTTGAGGCTGCAGCACACTCAGCTGTCACAGGTATGGGGCTGGACCCTGAGGGTCTTGGGGGCCTGGGGCCCAGGCCTAGTTCCTGGGCCTCAGGCTCACCATCCTTTCCCCTCCCCTGGCAGCGGTGGCCGATGCTGCCATGGCCCAAGCCCAAGGCCTATTCGGCACGGAGGAGGCAGTGCCTGAACACATCCAACAGCTGCAACATCAGGGCATCGAGTACGACGTCATCACCCTGACCGATGACTGAGCCCCAGGGGCCCAACAAAGACCATGGATATTGGGGCCAGCCCTGCTCGGGGTGGGGGGCCCACTGGGACTCCCTCGCTGCTCCACCTAGGATCTCCAGATACTGAGCAGCCAGCATCCTATCAGTCCTGGGGAGCCAGACCTGTGCTGCTGGGGTTAGGGGACAGCCGTGGGCCCCAGCCAGGACATGCTGCGGGCCCCAGCCTGCAGGCAGGCTTTGGGAGAGAGATTTATTTTTGTTTGGATGGACCCACTGGCCCCTCAGTCTCAATAAAGGGACCAGAGTCCAGCCTTGGCCAGCTCACTTTGTCCATGTGCTGCTACAGCCAGAACGAGGCAAGGATTTAGGAAGGAGGAGGAGCCCACCACAGCCCGCAGGGGTGGCAACGAGGTGGAAGCTGCCCAGCCCCGCAGTGCATCATCTTGGCCTGCCTCTGTAAGTACAGTGGCCCACTAGGGCAGACCCTCGGGGCAAAGGCCCGATACTGGGAGAGATGGCTAAGCTGGTGAAAGCCCCACGGAGCACCTTCAGACCCTGCCTCCTCCCCGGCCTCGGGGGAGCACTGGCTCCTTGCCTAGAGGTCCTCAGAGCACAGCCAGGTGCCTGCAGAGGCCACACGCCCCGACCAGGTGCCTCTGACCTGCTCTTCCTCCTGACCCTTGACTGGAAAACACAGCTGGCTGCCCACTCACTGTGCTGGCTCCAGGGCCAGCAGGCATCTAGGTTTCTGCCTCGACACAGCTACCTGCCCTCTGCTCCCCAGAGGGATCAGTGAACCTGATACCAGCTGTGGGAGTTTGGGGCTTGCAGATTATTGATGCAGGGAGGGCTCTGGACCCTTCAGACCTCCTGGACGTAGGCGGAGGCCACCGGGGACCCAGGTGTGGGGATGACAGGATGAGAAGTTAGTAAAATACCGGAGCCCTCGGTTGGGTGTGCAGGCCCAGGGCTCATGAGAAGGTGAGCCTGGATGTAGCGGACTGTGGTCCCAGAAGTTGCTCCAGGTTCCTCAGCCTTCTCTGCCCTCAAGACCCTCACACATTCTTGAGGGAGGGAGGTGGTTCTGTATTTCCTTTTACAAATGAAACAAGGTGGCAACACGATGGGGGCCAGGAAGGAAGGGAAGGCATGGGGCCTATTTACAGGGGACTTGGAGTGAGTTTGAGGTGGGAGGTTGGGGGGATGCGGGCAGGGAGGGGAAGCCCTGGCAGAGCTGTAATCTTCCTATGTCATTGGCAGTCTGGGTCCTGCTGCCACCCCAGAAGGAGGGTCCTGGGATCCACTCAGCCCCAAGAGGCCTGAGCGCCAGCAGTCCAGACCAGCACCCTGGGGCTCCTCCTCCCCGCAGGATGTGTTAAGTGGAGTGAGGCTCCCGGCTGGGGCCCTGCTCGCGGCCTGAGTCCCTGTCCTTGGCCTCCGAGGAGGACGACGAGGAGCCGACAGAGCCATGGCTGCGGCCCGACTGCCGGTAGGCGGCGCTCAACTCCTGCAGCCGCTCAGGCGTTGGCCCCCACTTGGCAAATCCAGGGTCGTTCTGTAGGAAGAGCACGGCCGTGCTGTGGACAGCCTTGTAGTGCATTTCCTCCCTGCGGGCAGAGGCAGCGGCTCAGGGAGGGGCCCGGCCCGGCCTGGTCAGCCCTGCCCGGCAGCCCAGCCCCCCTGCCCCGCCCGCCCAGCACCCACTTCTTGCAGACATGCTGGGAGCCGCTGCGGTACTCGTGCTCGAAGGCGGGCAGGACCAGCTGGTGGCGCTTGAAGCGGCTCTGCTCCATGCGGGTGAGCGCTGGGGTCGGGGGTTCCCGCCACTCGGGGATGAACACGATGAAGGACAGGGGCTCTGGCGAGCTCTCGAGCAGTTTCTGTGGGAGGGGCCCACGGTGGCCATCAGGGCCTGGCCCTCCAGCAGCCGGCCATCTTGCTCGCCGCCCCCCACCCGTGGTGACACACCCACCTCAAAGTGAGAGACCATGGCATCCATGAGCTCCTCGCAGAAGGGAGGGTTGGCCTCGAAGGACCCACTCAGCGGGGAGAAGTCCAGGCAGGGCCTGGGGACAGAGGTGAGCATTTCAGGTCCCACCAGGACCCAGTCCCTCCACCAAACACAGGCGCTGCCCCCACGTGTAGGCAGCCACGTTGGAGAGATGGCTCTGGGCAGGCCAGAGGCCACGAGTCACCCTAATTCTGGGACAAGGTGTGGCCATCTCTGTTGAATGGATGAGGACACAGAGGCTCAGGCTTGGTGGCCCAAGTTCACTGAACTGGTTAGTGGAGGAGCTGGAGCCCCAGTCCAGTTCTGATCCCAGTGCCACCACAGCACGAGCCACACCCAGGAATCCCCTGCTGCTGAGCTTGCCCTCTTGCCAGCCGGGTGGCAGCCGCCCCTCTCATCCATCCGCACCCCCAGGCCCCCACCACACCTCTTAGTGCCCGGAACCAGGCGCTGCTGCTCCACACCTGGGCTAGTTCTCTTGAGAGCCACGGGCTGGGTGAGGGCGTGGCACAGGCTCCCAGACACTGAGCCACATGTCCCAGGTCACACAGCTGGGGGGGTGGGGGCGGGGCAGGGATTCCACCCCAGACTGCCCAGCTCCAAAGCCCTCAAGCCTCGGGGAGCAGCTGACCCAGGTGGGCTCTGTGCTCTGGAGGATGGCTGCCTGGGCAAGCGGGAACCCACCGGGCCCGGACCCTCACCCGCGGGAGCCGAAGTAGCCGTCCGTGTCGGGGAAGGCGGAGCAGTACTGGCGAAAGTAGCAGTTGAGGGGTGAGGCGAAGCACTCAAAGCTGACGCCGAAAAGCCGGTGGAGGGCCTCGAAGACGTGCACGGGCAGCGACCCCTGCAGGCCTGTCCCCTCGTAGAGGCCCACGCCGAACATCATCTGCAGAGCAGCGGCGCTCAGCCTCTGGGGCGCAGCCTCCCCCCGCTCCAGAGGAGCCCCCACTCCAGCTGCCCCAGGCCCGTACCTGGTACCGGCGGAGAAGACACCAGACTCGGGGCAGGAACCTCTCAAAGGCAGAATCGTCGATGCAGCTGTAGCGGTAAAGGAGCCACTGTAGGACAGAAAGCAGGGGCTTCAGCAGCAGCCCTTCCCTCCCTCGTCACTGCCTCCTGCAGAGGACTCCAGGTCCAGAAAGATCAGCCCTTCACATCCCCCTCCTGGGGCACCTGCCTCCCCCACCCCCCAGCTCTTACCAGCTTGCTGAAGTAGTTGCGGCTGACCTTGACCATCTCGCCCTTATACCGGATGCAGACCACGTTATTCTCCACGTGCATTTCCACGCTGGGCATGGGAGGTGCAGACACGGCCAGCCGTACTGGATAGCAGTACACCAGGCGGGGCTCCACCTCGGGGGCCTCCACCTCCTCTGTGGGCAGGAGAAGAGTGAGGGGCCGCCAACTCTCACCCTGGACAGCCTCAGTGCCTACCGAGGGCCAGGTGCTTCACACGCGCATCCCAGTAACCAAGGGCGGTAAGTCTCACCCTGTGGAGGAGCAAACTGCAGCTCAGACAGTTCGGTAACGAAGGAAACAGCTAGGCAACTGGCAGGCGCGAGAACCAGTGGCCCACGTCAGCACGCTCCGTACTGACTCGGGCCCCCGGGCCACCATGCCTTGGGGCCTGGTAGCCAGGCTGTGGGTTTGTTGCCAGGCAGAAGTATGAGACCTGCACTGCCTTCGTCATCATAGTCACAATACCTTATTTAGGGATCTTTTGGGGCCCAGCACTTTAGTTCCCACGGAATCCTCACACGCTCCTGTGGCCAGGTGTCGCACCTCAGTGAGGCTGGCAGAGAACGGATGTGAAAGCAGGTCCACCTGACTACTTATCCCTGGCCTGTCTCGCTCTCCCTCCTCCGGCTCTCCCTTTCTCATCCCTTCTCCTGTTTCCTAGAGGAGTGCTAAAACCCCAGAGCCGAAGGCCACAGCAGGTCTCGCCCCAAGCGCTGCCGGGAGAAACAGGCTTCCCCAAACCAGCTGGCGGCCTTGAGGCTCAGCCTCACTTGTCCCTTTGTCAGGGCCCGGGATACCGAGTTGGTGGCGTCACAGCTGGCTCCTTGCCACCTGGCGCCTTACCTGGGATGTTGTTTTCCTTGAGAATGGCAAGGTGCTTCTCTCGGATCCGTTTGACATACTCCAGAGAGATGTGGTAGATCTTACTGCAGATACCCTCCACGGAGTCCTTGGCTGCGGCCGAGACGTGGGGGCCACACTGCCTCCGCAGATGCTCCAGGCGATCCTGGAGGAGACACTCCTGATCAGGGCTCTGGTGGGCTGGCTGGGGAGGGCTGTTAGATTCCAACAGTCCTCATTCTGAAACAGGCTCTGCTACTTACTAGCTGTGTCACTTGGACAAATCCCTCAGCATCTGTGAATCCTATTCCTCAGCTAAGGGAACACAAAATACTTACCTAACAGGGCAGTTTGAATATTAAATGCGATCATTCCCATTAAGGGCTTGCCAAGCCCCCGGCATACAGTAAGTGTCCGATAAATGCCAGCACTTACTGTTGGGGTTACACTGGGCCAAATCCCTTGATACTTGCTGGGGAAACAGACAAACCAGGCACAATCCCTGCTTATAAGGCATTTGCAGTCTACGGGGAGAAAGACTGTTGTAAAACAGGGGCTCTGTGGTCACTGCAGATTTGCAATTTGAGCTTTTAGCAATTTGTAATTATGCTGAATTGCACGTGTCAAAGTGATGGGTGAAAGTGAGTCACTCTGGCTAGTGAGTACACCTACCTTTGTCACTCTCTACGTGTCAAGTACACAGTTACTATCGTGAAGTGCGAAACCTTGTCTCTTGTGAAAAATGGTCCTGAAAAGAAAGCCCATTGCTAGTGCTGGTGGAGAGTTAAAGAAGTGATGGGTTTGGGCCAGAAAACAGAATTGTTTTGGACACATTAAAGTGGGCGATTGAATCTGGTAGTAGCTCTTAACTGAAATAGGGCCACACACACCCAAGAAAAGGCAGTTTGTCGATCTGTTTCCAAAACTCTAAAGGGAGGTGTTGAACATTCATTAAGTTGAAAAGGCAGCTACTTATGGTGTGTGGCCGAGCACAGGATTCTGTTAAGAACGCGAACGGAAATGTTCTCTGGGAGAAAGCCAGGAGCCTAGAGGAACATCTTCAGATGTGAGTCTGGGGACTGATGACTGTCAAAGGTCCACTGTACTACTGTACAGAAGGCTGACGTGGGGCCCACCCAGCCTCGGCAGGCAGAGTGGGCTTCTCGGAGACAGTGACCACAGAGCCTTTCCACCACTGGCCTTCCGGCTGGGGCCACTCACCATATAATCCTCCTTGGAGGCGGAGTGGTCCTTCCGCAGCCAGCTGAAGGTATCCTCCACGTTCCACTTGACCACCTTCCTGCTGTCGGGAGATGCACTCCTGCCAGTTGAGGGTACATAAAGGGGCCGGCTGTTGAGCGTCTGCTCCACCCTCCCTCCTCCTCCCATCCTACTTCCACTGGCATTTGGGCATCAACACCCAGGCTGACATCATGACCCTTGTTCTGCCTTTGGGAGCTGGCCCCACTCCTGCCGCCAAGCGCAAGGACAGGGCCCTGAGAGTGGGCCAAATGGCCTGTGCCCTCCTCCCCCACTCTGCTCAGAGCCCCCTGTGCCAGGGTCACGAGACGGAGCCAAACCTGGACTCGATGAGCCGCCTGGCAGCCTCTGCGTATTTGAAGAGCAGACGCTTGGCTTCCTCCCGGAACTTGATTCGGGATAACCTGGGTTAGAGAGCAGGCAGAGTTAGAGCCCTTCCGTACCAGCCTGGGCACACAAACCAAGTTGCCGGGGTCGGCCGCAGCCGCGGGGCTGTACCTGATGGGAATGTCATTCATGATTTCGCGAAACATGGAAGGTGACACGACCGGTTCGCAGTTGCTCGGCAACAGAGGATCAGAGCCTTTGTCCACGACCTTGCGCTCCAACATCCAGCGGTTGAAGGATTCCCGGGGGGGCTCGATGCCTGTGGGACGGGAGAGCTGATGAAGGTCTGGATTGAGTCAGCGGGCTCCACGCCAGCCGGCACAGGAGGCATGGCATGGGCACTGGAGGTGCAACAGTAAACAAGACAGCCCCTGTTATGTCAGGAGCTTAGTCCTAGGCAACATTTCCCAGAGTATTCTGAGAATCGCTAGTTTTATAAAGGGTGTTACAAAGGGTAACAAAGAGGGGAGGGATGGATTCTATATTTCAGCCAAGTTAAGCAGGCTTACCTGCTACTTAATAAAAGCTACAGTTTATTACGCATTTACTCCTTGTAGTAACGCTGTGAGGTACAGGTGCTCGGGTTTTTATGCCCTTTTACAGATACATGACAAGGCTTCGAACAGTGCCTGGCAAACAGTGAGCACTGGAAGTGTTAATGATTGGTTTTGTTGTTTGGGCGTTACTGATCCCAGCCACCCTTTATGTAGGCACTGTTACTGTCACTATCTTACAGATGAGGAAACTCAAGGGCAGAGAAGTTGATAAACCCGAGGTCACAGAGCCAGTGGTAGTGGAGCCGGGGCCCCTCCACAGCACACGCTCAACCACTGGGCTCCACTGGCCAAGCCCTAGCTCTTGCTAACGGTGGATGGAAGCAAAGGAGGCTGGGGCCCAGGAGGCAGTTACCCTCTCGCTGCTGGCACAGCTCCCGGTAGTGCTGCCGAAGCTTCAGGATGAGCTGGGAACGGAGCAGCTCCACCTCGGGATGCGGAGGCAGCACCTCTGATGGCCCCCGGTGCTTGATGACAGCGTTGGTCTGAATGTCGAGATCCCAGTACACCCTTGGGGCACAGACGGGAGCAATGAGGAAAGGGATGCCCTGCCTGCCACCCCACGGTCCCAGGCAGGCTGACCATCGGTGATCGCCACTCCCAAGCCAATCAGCAGGGACTCACTCAGTGGGTCGGAGGAGAGCTGCCTGCTGTTTATCTTCAGGGGATGTCCCCCAAATCTTCAGGGTTGGGGTTCCTGGGACGCTGGGGGAGCTGGGCACTGACGGGCCCGTGGGTGTCATGGGGATGTCAATCTGGAGCAAGAGTCAAAGGCGTCAGGTCAGGAGAGCTGGCCCACGCGCCGACGCCGTGTGCACCTGGTGAGCTGCGCCCTGGGCCCCCTCCTGACCAGTCTGCCGATGCTCAGCACTCACAGGGCACCTGACTGGGCTGCCTCGGCCCAGCCAGCTCCTGAGTCCACACACACTCACCTTGGGCTTCTTCACGCCATTGCCGCTGGGCTGCTCTTCCGAGAGCTGCCGCTTTCGGGGCTTGTTCTCAGCCGGGGGGGTTTCCACCAAGCTTGAGTCTTGGGGCAGGGGGGTCGCATTCAGCCCCAAAGGGTCCGACTGGTGGAGGGAGACCAGCAGAGTTGCAACCAGGGCTAGCGGCTTAGGAGTCCCAGTACTGCGGAGGCCTGACGCCTCCCATGCCCCCGCTCCCACTCCTTGGAGAAGAGCAGAGGGGCTGGGATGCGGGAGGGACGCTCGGCTCCACTCCTGCCTGCTCCTTGCGACTGTGCACCCCGGGGGGAGTGCTTCCCCTTCCTAATTCCCTCACCTTCAGAACAGCCAAGCTGAGACCGACCTCGCCACTGAAAAGGTGATTAAAGGACCAGTTTAACATGACATCTGGCATGGGATCAGTGCCCAGTACGTGTTAGCTGCTTTTCCTTAAGAACCAGAATGGGGGACTCCACTGGCAGTCCGGTGGTTAGGACTCCGAGCTTTCACTGCTGAGAGCACAGGTTCAACACCTGGTGAGGGAACTAAAGATTCCGCAAGCTGCTCAGAGCGGCCAGAAAAAGAAAAAAGAACTAGAATGAAAATTAGGGATAAAGGGAAAACTCAAGAGACTCTGGGAAGTCTTTTGGAGGCACCGAGGGTGTGTGTGATGGGGGGCAGCAGGGCCTAGCCCTGCAATCCCTCAGGTGCGAGTCCTGCTCTGCCTCTTACTGGCTTGAGGTCTTGAGCCAGTCACTTCCCCTCTCTGAGCCTGTCTTCATCTGCAACATGGGGGTGGATCGTGCCAAGAAAGGCTGCCCCAACTGACGGCAATCCAAAAGCCCACATTCCCGCCAGACAGCCCGTGCCCCCACTTCCCCATCACGTGGACACGCCAGTTCCCAGACAGTGCTCCTCCCCGCACCCGACTTCACTCAGCCTACCTTCTCACCTTAAACGCTGGTTCACAGAGAAGCCTTCCCTGTCCCCTTCCCTTCCCCAGACCCGCTAAGAATCCCGGCTGTACTCTGACACAATTCTTCACGCAGGTGCTACACTGTAATCCTCCTGGCCCCTCCAGTAGACTGTCCCCTGAGCATGCAGAGGCAGGACCAGGTCTATCTTGTTAACAAGCACATCACAGGCACAGTGCCCAACATGCAGTACGAGTTCAGCATCGTACACTACAATCATCTTTCTAGGTGTCAGTCTCTCCTACTGAAGTATAGGTTCCATGAGGGCAGGATTGTGTCTGTCTTGCTTGGCATTGTGTCCCCAGGTCCAGGTCCTGACACAGGGCTAGGTACGTAATAGCTGCTCTGGGTACATTTGGGGAAGGCCCAGATGCCAGAAGCCGCCAAGACCCCTGCCCGAGGCCGGCACTCACAATCACATCGTGCTGGCCCAGCACGGGCATCTCCCACAGGGACTGGTTGGTGAATCGGTTGAAGTAGTAGGGACGGTTCTCCCTTCTGCTCCAGCACTTCTCCCAGCCAGCGTGCACCAGCTCCTCTGCAAGCAAGCACGGAGCCCAGCCAGGGTCAAGACTGCTCCCAGGCACCCTTCCTACCCCACCACCCAACCACTGCCCCTCGCCAGTACCTGGGAGGTCCTGCACCAGGCGGACGGGCTTTGGAGAACAGGGCTGGCTCTGATTGGAGGTGCCTGGGGAGTGACTCAACAAGGATGCTTCCTCCCGGGGGCTGCCGTGATTCTCATTGGCCATCTCAGCACCCACACCGGACCTGCCACACAGAGGACCGAAGGGTGTCAGGGCCAGCAGGGCATGGAGGTCAGTTCCACCCCCGCACTGCACCCCAGTTACAATCCACAAGGGCCCCAGTGACCACCTGCACATGTGGAGAAACCAATCCAGTCCCTTCCTGGACGGCCAGCCTTGTGCCACAGGAGCCCTCAGCTCTAAGTTGCAGTTCCCTCAACTGTAAGTGGGTGCACTCCCGTTGCTCTTTTGGCCTGGAATACTCTTTCCCCGCTTCTCTGCCTGGCTTGCCACTAGGTCCACATCCTCCAGGGACCCTTCCTTGATCCTCCCTTCCCCAGGCTAGGTGATCAGAGTCCTAGGATTGTAGGATTGTCGCACTCAAATAGTCTGGTCCATTAACTTGGTTTGTCTCCCCATTAGACTGTCAGAACTCCCAGGCCTCAGTACTGGGTACAGTTCAGCTCTCTCCAGTGCTCAGCATGGTACCTGGACCCAGCAGGAGCTGTATTCATTCTGCCAATGTTTACAAAGCACCAACAGTGGCAGACAAGACAGAACAGAGTCTGCCCTTGAGAAGCTGTTACCATAAGAAGAAATAGTAACTGCTCCTCTTTCCTTTTCCTATCCAGTAAAATCTAACTGGAACACAGCACAGCCCAGGAAGGGGCATGGCATCTAATTAGATGCCTTGTTCTACGCTACAGAGCAGGAAGAACCAGTAGGACTGAGAAGGAATACCGAGTTCAGTCCTTCATAATCCCCAGGTGAAAACATACTTTTAAACACCAGGAAGAAGGTCAGCTCCTTCTGATTTGTATTCCTAACTACCCCACCCAAAGCACACCCAGCACAAGCCTCAATGGCCAAAGTGGTTCCCAACCTGGCTGTCAGACTCCTAGAGGCCAACTGAGGTCAGCCTGGTGCTCCTAAAGTTGTTTTCAATGTCACAACACCCAAAAGAAATCAAACATTTACCCACAAAAAGACCACAAAGGCACATTTAAACACTGGTTATCTTTGCTACTGAAATTTTATCAACTGACTGCTGTCACATTGATTATCTCATGACAATCAGAAGCTCTGACGGTTGTTGGCGACATCATAGCGATCACTGGCTTGTTGATTTTATTGTACACCCAGTCACAGACATCTTTGTTAATTTGGAAAGGGGAAAATGAACGGTTACTTTGTCTGTACAGTTTGGCAGATAAAAATGCAGGGAACAAGAGAACACACATACAACAAAAGGGGGCCAGGATAAAAAGGTTTGGAACCACTGACCAAGGGGAGATGCCTTGGTCCTCTGGGGAAGAGGAATTCCCGGTGCCTCGGGGCGGACCCACAGGTCTCAAGGCTGAACAAGGTCCCTCTTTCTCTCACCCTCTGGGGTCTGCAACGCTAGCATGAGAGGGCTTTCTTCTCCGGCCAGATGGACCCCCTGGTCCCACAGAGGCAGTGGGGAGGCCTGCAGGAAAGCGTGCAGTGCAGGCGTGTGGGCTGGTCAGCAGTGGAGTGGACGGGAGCCCAGGGGATTCCTTGCATCAGCAACTGCAGAGCAAAGGGAAGAAAAGAGAGTCACAGACCTGTGAAATGCTGCAGAACAGGGAAAAGAACAAGAGGGGCAATGACACAGGGCACGGCGGAAGCCCCCAGGACAGGGCAGGACACTCTGTGGGAGATCTGGGGATTCAGGGGATGAAAACAGTACTTCTCAAGCTTCCCAACCAACAGGTTCACACTCACAGACTTGCAGCCTGCACCGTCCCACGGGACCCTGAGTTGAAAAGGGCCCTGAGACTGGTTTAATGCTCTGCTGTCACGGTCTTCACATCTTTAATAAACTTTTAACAAGGGGCCTGTGTTCTCATTTGTACATTTGATGTCACAAATTATGTAGCTGGTCTGGCCAACCACAGTACCCCTAAGACGAAAGTGAACAACATACGTATCACAGGTTGGGAGTGGGCACGGTCCCAAGCCACCCACAGTGACGGAAAAACACATTTCTTTGAATCAGGTCTTTAATTTTAAAAATAATAATAATCCATGCCAATGCATTGTATAACACAGCGTGTTCACCTTCACTGAAATATTTTCCCCAAGAAATACTGTGTGATACCAATGCACCAAGCAGGTGAACTATGCAGAGGAGGGACAAGCAGCACAGCTTAGTGAGGCCAAGTGGGGACTCTGCAGTGTTTCCAAAACCAGCTGTGCATCAGAACCACCAGGGAACTTGTTAAAAAAAAACCCTCAGATTCCTGTCGCTCACTCCACATCGTAGAGGTGGGGAGGGGAGATACACAAGAATCTGTATCTTTTAAACACAGCTCAAGAGTGGGATTGGGAGACTGGGTGACTAATCTTCTCACTTTACACCACTTCAAATCTTTACCAACTTTTTTATGATTAAAAAGGTTTTTAATTTCCCAGGTGATCTGGATGCAGCAGGTCGGTGCTGCATCAACCCTGGGTTTGCACAGACCCCGGTTCCAGAAGCTTCTGCCACTTTCCGAATTAGAACCAGAATCACTCAACCTCTACGGTCTCGATGCGTAGAGCTTAGCACACTGTACTAAGTGCAAGTTATCTCTGCAAGTAAGAGATAACTGCTATTACTAAGGAAAAGTTTTTATTTATCCTGTGGCTTCCCGGCCCCCGCGCATACCGCAGCTCGACAAGGGCCCAACAGCTTAAGGATAAACAAGCGTATCTGCGGAACCAGAGGAACACACCAGAAGGAAGAGAGAGTCCGACTCCAGGATTGGAGGAAGACGGGGCGGGATCATTTCAGTAACGCACCAATCAGAATACTCCGGCCCAACAGGGAGCAGTCAAAGGGCTTCCAAAGTGCGCAGGCGCGGGGGGGCGCGCGATGGAGGGGCGGGCCCAACCCCCGCCGCGCGCGCACCTTCCCCCTACCCGCCAGCGGGGGCGGGCTGTTTGGCGCGCGCGCGCCAGCCCATCTCCCGGGCTCCGCCCCCCGCCCCGCCGCGCGCTCCCGCCCCCGGGCTGAGGCGACTGAGTCGGAGACCGACACAAAGGCGGTGGCGGCGGCAGCGGCGGAGGGGCTCTAAAGACCGGTCCGCCCGCGCTCCCCGGACCCAACTCCCTCATCCAGGTCACCGGCCCGGCCGCCCCCCAGTGGGCCTAAGATGGCGGCGGCGGCAGAGACGGGGCAAGCGGTAGCCTCGAGCGGAAAGCGCCGGAGGGGGCCACCGCCGCCTGGCTTCGGACCCCGGACCCTGGCGCGGCTCGCGGCGGGACTATGGCTTCCTGGGGCTCTTACCTGCCCGCAGCGGACTCGAGGGGACGCGGCTACACGTTCTGCTCGACCGCCCGTTTTGCCGCCTCCGCCTCGCCCTCCCCAACGCCGCTGCCGCCATCTTGTGTCCCGGGCCGGGACTCCGCGCTGCGCATGCGCTGGTACCGCCTCTGAGGGACCTCGCCGCTGCCGCGCCGCCATCTTGAGTGTGGCAGGACAGGCCGACTCTTTAGACCTCGCTTGCTGTGGGCCCCCTCCCCTTCCTGCCGTCCTTCCCTGCTGTTCATGCGGGTCTGAGGAGCGGGAGGCAGCTTTGCGGGCCCTGGGGTGTGGACTGAGGCAGGAATGATCCCACGAGCACGCTCCCTGCCTCAGTTTCCCCCGCAAGCACACCCGCTGGGGCCCCAGGACCTGAGTGGGCGGTGCGCCGGCAGTCGAGCTGAGTGTGCGCACCAGGGGGCGCGGAGCGGGCTTGAAACCTGCGGGGTCTAGGCCCAGACGCCCACCTGGGGGCGGAGTCCTGGTGACGTAATCTCTGGACGTACAGAGGACCTGGGTCTTGCCTGCGGCGCGGCTCCGCCACTTCCGGGCAGTCGCTTGTCGTCTTTGGACCGTTGTCCGGAATGTTTTCCAGCCATTTCTTATATGCAGGCTGCATGCACATCGAACTTTCTCCCCTAATGAGGCTGCATAAGTTCTAAGAGCCCCTGAGTAGAAGAAACTCAAAATAGCCCTGAGAGACATATAATAAAGATGGCTTTTGGCAAAGTTGGGAAATTATAAACTAAATGCATCAGAGGGCTTTCCAACACTGCTATCAGTGGTTGCTAGTTGCAGTGCAAAACCTGAGACCTCAGGCCGGCCACAAAAGTTAACCCAGCAGGAGAATGGCAGTCGCCAGGTCCCTGGCTGCCTGCAGGATTCTTTGGTAGAGGTGAGCAGGCGACTCACTAGCTCCACCTCCCTCTGGCCTCCCCAGTAAGCCGACCTCCCAGTGATAGCTTAGGAAGACAGGCTTGCCACCTGCTGTTCGACTTGCGCTTCCCACGTAGAGCCTGAGGCTGCAGATACCCCAGCCGGGCCTCCGCTCCTGTCCGTGGTGCCTGGTCCCAGCAGCTTGGTGGGGTTGGGGGAGTGCCAGCAAACCCGATGCAGTAGTGTGAACAGTAATTAAGAACTAGGGTTCCCATCAGTCTGACTGGGTTCAAACTCCTCCTCCACCCGAGATGTAGATGTGTGGCCTTGAAGGAGTTGCTTAACCTCTTTACGCTTTAGTTTCCTCTGATGGAGGATAAGGCTGCCTACCTCATCAAGGTTTGGTGAGAATTAACTGGGATGCTGCCTGGGGAAGTACTCAGCACAGCAACTGACACTAACAGATGTTAGCTCTTATCACCTCACGGGGTTTGAGGCTTGCTCCATGTAGATCTGAGACCTCTGGAAATAAACCAGCTCCTTGTAGGCACAGCAGGTGCAGCGATCCTGCCCTCACAGTGCATACAGTTCACCTGATAGGCTTGACAGGCCATCAGATGCAGGGTCCCCACCTCAGACAGGGGAACCACATGTCCTGCTTTGCCTGGGACAGTCTTGATTTATGTCTGTTGTCCTGGCATGATTATTAAAATGGCTTCCTTTCTCAAAAGGGCCCTGGTTGGACAATAAATTATATGGTCACTCTCGACTTACAGAATGCCCAGTTTTACAAGCTCACTAGCTGGTTCTTATTAACACTGGAGTGTAAAAATCATATAGTGATGGTTACAGGTTCGTGCCTTCATGTTTTCAAAGTATTTTTTCATTCCTTGTTCAGATTCTCTTATTATCAAAGCATCAAACTTCCCGAGTGCCTATCCTAATCTGTCCTCTCTGAACCCTGAGAGTAGAAAAGATTAGATCAAATCTACACATGAGGAAACTGAAACTGGGGGAGGGGGCAGGGGTGAAATGATTGTCCAGGTTCACAGCCATGAAATAAGAGAACTGGGATTTTAAGCTCAGGTTTTAACACCAAAACCTAAGGCTGATTCCTTAAAACCACACTGCTTCTCTCTCTTGTGGAGAAGGGAATCTGGACTCGGGGCAAGTGACTTGTCTGAGCTCACATGGTGGTCCTGGACACTTCCACTTCAACGTCTTGTAGGTTTCTCTACCTCAGAGCATTAAACACTGCTCTTCACTTTCTTTGCGTCCCCAAACTTGTTCTTCCCATTATATCCTCATCCCTTCTCTCTATCATTTCTGCTACTTAGAGCAAGCTCTACTACGTAGAGCAAGCATTATTTTAAAAATCTTTTTCTTGTGAAGAATAGTACACATAGGGACTTCCTTGGTGGTCCAGTCGTTAAGACTCCGCGCTTCTCTCAATGCAGGGGGCCCGGGGTTCAATCCCTGGTCAGGGAACTAGATCCCTCATGCTGCAACTAAGACCTGGTACAGCCAAATAAATAAATATTTTTAAAAAATAGTACACATGCAGGAAGGCACACAAAACAGAAAGGTAGATGATTTGTCACAGAGTGAATGTGGTAAATGTCACTCAGGTCAAGATACTGCGAAGCACAGGGTAATCACTGTTCCCACTACTTTTGCAATAATCACTTCCATGCTTTTATAGTTTTACCGCCTAAGCACGCATCCCTAAAGACTATCCCTTCATTTCACCTGTTCCTCAAACTTTATATAAATGGAATTATATGTGTTTCCCTTCTTTTGCTCAACATTGCACTTGTAAGACCCATCTAAGTTGTTGCATGTAGCCATAGTTAATTTTCATTGCTGTATCCTGTCTTCCAATGTATATTTCTCTACTCCACTGTTGGGGGATATTAGAAGCCCCCACCCTGTACCTCTTTTCTGAATTACTACTGGTTTGGAGATCAGTCCCCAAACTGGTCTTCTGATCCTCCAGCCCTGCTTCTCTCGTGGTCCATAATCCACCATGCAGTCACGGGGATCTCTTTAAGTCTGGTCATACTGCAAATCTGACCAAGTCACCCTGGCCTTAAAACCCTTGAATGTCTCCCCACTGACTGCACAATAAAGTCCCAAACCCTTACCTTGGCTTCCAAGACTATAGTTATGAGAGCTACTATGGCAGGGCGTTTGCTAGGGGCTGCACCAAGCACTTTGCATACATTCATGTTATTCACAATCCGGACCTTCAAACCATCTCTCATTTGGTCCCAGTGATCCTTATAATTTCCCTAAATGTGCCGCATTCTCACTTGACCCTGGGCCTTTGCACATGCTGTTTGCTCTCACTTTTCCTCCCCCTTTGCCTAATTCAGCCTTCATCTTAACTGAGATGTTGCCTCCACCAGGCAGCCTTCCCTGAACTTGCCTGAACCCAGGCTAGGCTAGGTCAGATCTCCTCTTCTGTATTCCCCTAATGGCCTGTGCTCAGTGTTTGTCCATTTTCTCCGTCCACGAGGCTGTGGACTGCTTAAGGGCGGGGACAGGGCTTGTCACCCCTGCAGTCCCCAGACCCAGCACTGTGCCCAAGCCTCCGTAAATATTTGTTGACCACAGACAGACCACACTGGGTTGAAGTCTTAGTGACTTTTTCAGGTATCCCCATCTCTATTCCAGGCTCTGGTTTCTGTGGTGGGAACACCAAGGCAGCACCCTTTGGGACACCAAGAAAAACATGAGTTGCACAATGTGGCAGAGTCCCTGTCAGCAGCCTGGGGTCGTGTACTCCCAAGATGGGTTTGAGCAGGTCAACCAAACATCCTGGGGCTTTCAAGCAGTCCATCAACTTTTCTGTAGAAGCCTCACTAGACAGCAGATCTAGGTTGGGAGAGATGGTAAGCAGAGCTCCTCCAGACATAGCCAGTCCTGGGCGTGAAACCGAGCAGGACCCTGTGGGGCTCCTGAGCATAGAAGCTTTTCAAACAGTGCTAATTAGGAAAGAGAGGGGATACAGAGGCAAGGGAGGAGCAGTCAAGAAACAATAGTGATCAGGCTTCCCTGGTGGTGCCGTGGTTAAGAATCTGCCTGCCAATGCAGGGGACACAGGTTCGAGCCCTGGTCTGGGAAGATCCCACATGCCGCGGAGCAACTAAGCCCGTGCGCCACAACAACTGAAGCCCGCGCGCCTAGAGCCCGTGCTCCACAACAAGAGAAGCCACCGCAATGAGAAGCCCGTGCACCACAACGAAGTGTAGCCCCCACTCGCCGCAACTAGAGAAAGCCCACGCACAGCAACAAAGACCCAACACAGCCAAAAATAAATTAATTAAATAAATAAATTTATAAAAACATAAAAGATTTTACATGTTTTTAAAAAAAAATTTTTTTTTATTAAAAAAAGAAAACTAAAGAAACAATAGTGCAGCCTTGGGGCAGGGTCCTTGTTCCACCTCAAGGGATACACATAATATTTTTGAGGTCTTTATAAAACTAAACCCCCAACAAATGGAAGATGTTAGCATTCTTCATTCCAGTTTAAAGGAACTAGAGAAGTTCATTAGGAGGAGACCACCTGAGGCCGGATTAAAGGAGCGCAGGCCCTGCACGCACCCTGACCCTTATCAGCAACCTCACCTTTGAACTATTGCTATAAAAAACTCTTCACCAAATCCTCCCAGGTTGGGACACACGCAGGCCTCTCACTGTTGTGGCCTCTCCCGCTGTGGAGCACAGGCTCCGGACGCACAGGCTCAGTGGCCATGGCTCATGGGCCCAGCCGCTCCGCGGCATGTGAGATCTTCCCGGACCGGGGCACGAACCCGCGTCCCCTGCATCGGCAGGCAGACTCTCAACCACTGTGCCACCAGGGAAGCCCGGGACACACAGTTTTGAGGGGCATGAGCCCACTGTTTCCCCCTTTGCCTGGCAAAGCAATAAAGCTATTCTTTTCTACTTCACCCCAAACTCTGTATCCGAGATTCAACTGGGCACTGGTGCACAGAGGCCGAGTTTCTGGCATCAGCGGGAGCCTGTTATCAGGGCCTCTGAGGACGCTGGCCTCAAATCAGGACAAAGCCATCTCCATGTTAAAGCGGAAACATAAACATACAGGCTCAGGGTGCCACATACCTTCACCTCCCTGTTCTTTCCCACTACGGCAAGAAGCTGCTGAGAGAGAACCACACATTTTAAGCCCTGAGGTCCTGGCAGTTGGGGAAGGGAGGCTCCAACATGACCCTGTTCCAGGTTGCTTTCCTCCCCACCAAGGCCAAGCCTGAGCTGCCCCGAGACCCTGTTCTGCAGTTGAAGTATCACTAAGGCAGTTTCCAAGGCGAGTGGGCCTGGCCCTAGGAAAGCTTTGGAAGCAGGCTGCCACCCAAGCTGTGGTTTCCACAGGGAGTGGCTCTCTGGCCGTTCTGGGACCAGATGAGAGAAGCCAGTTAAGCCAAGAATAGATGAGGGCAACGGGGCACCTCCTCTGGTCTCCATGGCCCAGAGAGTGTCTGATGTGGCG